CTCATCTTTCCTTTTTTTGTGTGTGTCAGTGGCAGCGGTAGGATTCTTCGTTTTGTCCATTGCCCTTGCACAAGGAAGTTGCTGGTTGTATTTTTTTCTGGCGACACCCAAAGATACCCGAAGTGTCCAGTGCCTTTTTCAAGTGGATATATATATATATATTTCTTTTGTCGACCCTTTCAGGGGGACCGTCCATGTCTCCTGGCTGCGTGCAATGCAGTAGAACGGATTTGTGAGGAGAGCCAAGTGAGCCAAGATTGCAACACTTTTGCACTCAAAATGTTTTCGCACAGGACTCATACGGCTTCATCACCTTGGTAAAGGCCGCCAGCTGTTTCTATATCTTACTGTCATGGCAATCTTGTCCAGGCCAAGGGTGTGGAGACAATGCTGTCTTTCTTGCGGCATCTGCCACAAGCCCATGTTGCGCCTGCTACATCCGAAGCTGTAAATGCAGCAGTCCGCAGCCTGGTCACCCCCAGCTGTCGGTGAAAAGCAGATCAAAACCATTTTAATGTCCATTTGTGACAAGAGACCTTGTACCTTTTCTATTTATGTTTTCTAGATTGTATGAAGTTCTGCAGACCATAATTTAGCCTAGCCACTGTGGGTGCCCAGGCGGCTGCCATTTTTCAACGCGCAGCTGTGTGGTTGGATGAAGTGGACATTCTGGCTGCTTCAGTGAATACTGACAGAGATAATTGAAATCCTTCTGCCACAGGGATGCTGTCATGGATCCATACTGGATTTGCTGCCAAATCGATTGATGACAAGTGCCGATCATTCTGTACGCAGTAATAGTGACTGGCACTGTATTTGCGAGCTAGCCAGGATGAGGTGGACTTTGACCAGCTTCAACATGTGTTACATTTGGCTTTTTGGTCGTCACCCAAGATTAAATCCGATTGCTTCTTGCGAGAAGCTTGTCCTCCTTTGCAGGTTAGGTTCCGAAGATGAGGATGTGGCATTGTCTGTCAGAGCCTGTGCTCTTTTTTTCTAAAGTCTTTTTTACATTAGCAATCCGGAGTCCCCCTTCGAGCCTGCTCGTCATTCACCGCCAGGCGCTGGGAGCAATTGAGAGATTTACGCTTTACAGGAGATGTTGGGAACATTTCCGTTTTATTGTTTTTTATTCAATGATGGCCTCGTGTCAGAACTTGAACGGAACCTCTCTTGAGGAGCGAGAACGGAGCTACTCTCTTGCAATCAGATGTGCTCCAGGTGCGTTTGGATTTCCCGAATTCTTACATTGCTTCCTTGGTTGAGGGGCATTTCGGCATAGGTTTGGAGAGAAGTGAATGTTTGAGCGATTTCGACACCAACTGGAAAACTGTTGGAGAAGGAAATCCGTTGAAAGGTGCTACATCGGATCATTGGACACAACCGAGCACCGGAGTTAGTTTCAGAGGCATGTGATGCCACTGCATATCGCTGTGACACCATGTCTTGTGGCCAGGCGTTCACTCTATTGTTTCGGCTTTGTGATGCACCAGCACCAGCTGTCGTGCCCCATCCACGCATCGTTGTGAACGCTATGTGCCTCACATTTGTGTACTTATGTAGTGAACTCAATCCTTTTTCCATAACAACTTGGACCGGACCCGTGTCCTGTGAAAGGTTCCCTTGGTGACAGATGAAAGTGATATTGTGCGAACTGTGGCCTATTCCTCAATCACAGGTGGCATTCGCAGATATCCGAGCTTAAGCCTTTTGTTCTCTGCCTCAGGTTGAATCAATGACACAGGCTCCGCTGAACATGTTGCTTGACCCAAGTAAGAAAAAGGCGGCTACGACTTATTGCTTTGTTGGCTACATATTGTATTGTATATATACATATATCATTTATCAGCCAAAATACTCACTGCATGTGCAAACATGAATCCCAGAAGAAACATATTTTCCAGAAACAGCATTTTCCCGACAATGCAAAGGCGGGAAAACAAAGTATAAAGGATCATTCAGCCTGAATAGGAAGCCAAAATGGGAAGATTTAGTGATTTAGCTATGATGCGGAGAATATATACAAATATGGATTCTCTCATTCTTAACTTGAAACAAAGGAGAAAGCTGACAAGGGACAGATTAAACATGGAAGAGCTGACTGGATAGGGTCAGAGCCATGCAATTCAAAGAAGCAGAGCAAGCTAAGAATATAAAGTAACAGAATGCAGGAAGGGGTAGAAAGTGTGTGAGTAATTCAAAGGATAAGATTGCGAGAAGATTGGGTGACAGCTTGGAACAAGAAACTTACATTTCGCCATGAACTGGAATCTTAAATTGGATGAGGAAAGATCCAGCTACAAAAAACCCAAAGAAAGTTTATGAAGCATCGAGGAACCCAGATTCTAGGAAACAGTTTTTGGTGTGTTTCAGGCTCTCACAAACCTGCATATGCGATCAAACACAACAGTTTCCGTAGCCTAACACCATCAAGAGCTCAAATCTACAAATCATTCTATTTGGCCTGGTGCCTGCAGCGCAAGCAATGCCTTATACCAAGTGCAGTCATTGAAGTATAAATACATTTATATAACCACAAGCTTTCACACTCTGTGCGCATGCCCTACACATATCCTCTCTACTCTGCACAGTGCTGTCTGTACAATGCAGTATGGCGCTGCTGTGTGTAGGAGAGTATTCCGTAGGGGACTCCGCAATTGGAATCTGGCGAGCGCCCTGTAATCTGAGTCGGGCATGTTGGACGCTCACTAAGAGATGTCATTTTTATGGTGTTTACACTCTTTGCATGGCTTTGTATCTCGCATTTCTCGAGTTTCCGCAGTGTTCCTGTAGACTTTGTAATGCAGTGTGGAGTGTTGTGAAGTGTGCACAGTACTGGTGGAATGTGGAATGCATTGTTGACCTCCGGGATGTCACGCTTGTAAAGACCCGAAGACCCGGTTTTCTTGAAGACGGTAAACACGTATCTATAAGCACTATTTTTGGATCCTCTTTCACATTGTTTAGTTATATATTGTATGTCTTCCTTGCAAGTTGCAAACATTGTTGGACCTTTCTTGAAATTGTACATTTTTCAGGGCGCCCAAATTTGCAGACTATACAATTTTTATACTAACTTGCAGACTATACAATTGCAACCAGATGATGCATTTGTCGCCATAACAAACTATACAATTGCAACCAGCTGATGCATATGATGCAACCATGAGAGATTTATTAAGACATAGACTGTTGAGAGAGGAGTCGTTTGTTTGCCTTTCATGAGCCTGGTGATGCGAATGGTACGATGATGAGAAATAAATATAGTCAGACATACATGATATATATATATATATACAAAAACACATACATAGACCAAGTGCTTTTCCATTTTTTTCTCCCACTCCCACTCCTCTCCCAGACACACCTCATGATGCAGGATATGCAATTTTGTACCCAAACGCAAATAGGCCTCCCCCAGCTAAAGCTTTGTAGCGATGAATGCACTCCTGACAGTGCTCTCTGCAGCATTTGGGCCTCAACAACGTCTTGCTGGAAAGTTAGTGTGCATTCAAAACTCAAACAGACTTTGAGTTTTTTGAAGGGGTGAGGTGCGGGCGTTGGGAGTGAGCACATGTAAAGAATAGAAACATGTGACTGGAAACTTGCTGACAAAGTGAAAGGCCTTGCAAGAGAAAGGCTTGACTCTAATCATTCTGCAAGACGGACCGGTTCTTGGAAGCTTTGCCTGCTGAGGCGTTTGCAGCTCGCTGGTATTCGCTTGTTGGCTCTTTGGTCACAGAGATCCCTGCGCATTGACAGACCATCATGGTGCAAAGTATTGTTGCTACAAACCCTACTAGCTTCTTGTTACTACTAGTATATAAGGCACCTGTTACTACTAGCGTGGCACTTGTTTCTAGTAGCGAACCTTGTTGCTACAAACCCCAGCACTTGTAGCACGGATGAACTAGGCGTGGTTCAGTTTAGTTGTGCCAGGTTGGACCTTGGAGAGGACCCTGCCGTGTCTGAATCGAAGGACACGCTGCCATCACACTTGGACAGTGACACTGGGGACAATGACAGCGACACTGACACGACTTTTGTCGGATGATCCACAAAGCGTTTAGGACTTGAAACAGTTTATCAGGGAGGTTGGGGTTGCTTTGTAGATAAGTCCACTTGTACGTGAGTTCTGCTCCAACTACATGTGCAGGCAAATGGTTTTGAAGTTTCCAGGGAGGTGATCGCCAATCTGAAGCGAGCTGGGTGGTGGCCTTGTCCACTGCTTCACGCAGATGTTCAGCAGCCATGTTCAAGAAGTGCCGGGTAGTTGATTCCACAAAGGCTGAGCCATGCCGCTGGTTGGATGTCAACAATATCTTGTCGTTTGCCTGGCCCTTGTGCTGTGTTGAAATTGCATTCCACATGCCCCGTACAGCAGCCACGTGTTTGAAGGCCGCAACAAGTCCGTGGAAGCAAAGACTCCAAAGAAGAGTGCGAGGCTAAAGTTCAACATGAAGGTTTCACAAAGTCCAACTGAAACGCAGCCAAGGTATCAAGGACGATCATTTTCACGGACGAGTGCCGGCTCTTCTCGTGCAAAATCCAAATAGATGCAAACACATAGTGCAAACCCATCCCTTGCAAAGAAGATCAGTTGTAGACACCAGCAGGTGATATGTTTTTCCCCACAGATTGTGGAGCTATTGACAGCAATTTGAGACAACACATCCTAATTG